TAAAATTACATTTTCATGGAATATTCCTGTTTGATGTATTTTATCGGTTTCCTTTTTTTTTTTTTTTTTTGAGACAGGGTTTCTTTGTAGCTTGGAGCCTGTCCTACAGAGTGAGTTCCTATGAGATACAATGTGAACTCATTAGCAAGAGTTGGGAATCCCTGCTTGGTCTCACTCCTCCCTCTCTAGACCCCGCCCTCAGAAAGCCCCGCAAGAGTCAGCTCCTCCTCCGGAACTGCCCAAGGCCACGCCCACAGGGTATTTATGACCTGGTCCCCAGCCCTGCCCTCCTGAGAGTCACCCGGGAATTCTTTGGCTCTGCTCTGTTCTGTTTGGTAAATCTGGATTTATTAATTCGCTTTGATTTGGCTTATTGCATCGGTGGAGGAACCCCAAACAGGGAATTTTCAAAATACTTATCAGGGAGCATTTTGTCTTTAAAAATTACCTCTTCTTGTCAGGCATTGGTGGCCCACGCCTTTAATCCCCGCTCTGGGGAGGTAGAGGCAGGCGGATCTCTGAGTTCGAGGCCAGCCTGGCCTGCAGATCGGGTTCCAGGACACGCAGGGCTACACAGAGAACCCATCTTAAAATAAATTTACCGTTCCTTGCTCTCTTTCTTTCTCCACCCCTTATTCTCTGTAACTGAGGGAGGGTGGCCTTGAACTCCTGATCCTCTCTCTCCCAAGCGCTGGGACTACAGGTATGAATGGCGTACCCAGTTTACCAAGTGCTGAGGAGGGAACCCAGGACTTGGTGCACGCCTGGTGAGCACTCTCTCGACTGTGACTCCCAACCAGTCAACAGGACCAGTGGCATGGTCCCCCAAACAGCCACACCTTCTTTTCTGTCTCTATAGTGAAACCCGGAGTCCTCCAGTTTCTGCTACCTCGGGCCAACCGACCCTTTCAACCTCAGGCACACTCAGGAAATAGAGAGGGGACCTTGCCTGACCATCTCCAACAAAAGCTCTGGACAGTGGCTCAACACCAGAACCAGGGATCTGGAGACGGATGTGGTGGGACAGGCCTGTCACCCCAGTACCGGGAGGCGGAGGTGGGAGGGGCACAAGTTTCAGTCACCTGGAGCTGCACAGTGAGACCCTGTGTGCTTCACTTTAAAATGTCAGTATCCATCTATTTATGTGTGTGTGTGTATGCATGTGTGTGCGTTTATGTGTGTGTATGGTGTATGTATGTGTGTGCATGTGTGTATGTGTGTGTGCATGTGTATGTGTGTGCATGTATATGTTTGTGTATGGTGTATGGTGTGTATGTGTGTGCATGTGTGTGTGCCTACATGTGTTCCTCTGTATGTGCGTGTGTGTGTGTGTGTGTGTGTGTCTGTGTGTGTGTGTACACTCAGAATGTGTTCTAGAGACCTTGATTGGAGGTGAGGGCCGATGGCTCCAGTGAGCGCTGGTCTGAGTTTGGTGCTGGCAGGCAGAGTGAGACCGGCTGTAGTTTAATCTGAGCCCCACTCCCACGCCCCTACCCCGCCTCAAATAAAAGTCTGGGCCAGCGAGGAGAGGACAAAGCACTTGTTGCCGAGCCTGACAGTCTACGCTCAATTCTCAGAAACCACGTGGTGGAAGGACAGGACAGAGTTGAGCAAATTGTTCTCTGACCTCCTTGTGTGTGCTGTGGAATGCACTCCGCTCATACATAAACACACACACACCAGATACACACATACACACATATACACACAATACACCAGACACACATACACACATACACATACATACACCAGACACACACACATACACACACATACACCAGACACACATACACACACATAAACACACACACCAGACACACATACACCAGTCACACGTACACATACATACACCATACACACACGCATACACCATACACACATACACCATACACACATACACACACACCATACACACACATACACACACATACACATACATAGATACACACACATATACCATACACACACATGCACACATAGATACACACATATACACATACATACACACACATAGATACATACACACACCATACACACATATACACACACCCATACATACACACACACCAGACACATACACACACGCACACGCACGCACGCACGCACAGAGCCCATTGTAAACTGGCTGTCACATCTACCCAGGTGGACCATAGAGCTTCAACCTCCCCTGGAGGACTAGCACTGAATTTCAGATTAAAACGCCCTCTGCTATCAGAACACTGGGCTAGAGACCCTGACCTCTGGATATCCCGGAGTGACCAAACTCCTGTCAACAACCTGCCCTGGCGCCTGGTGAGTCCAGAGAAAGAAGCAGGTGTCTGCCCTCTGGTGGCCAATCCTAGAAGAGCAGCCTGAGTAGCTCCGTGGGACCACTGGTTTACCCACGCTGTTGCAGGCCTGAAGTCTGGTCCGTTTCAGTCAGCTAGCACGCAGCACCCCAGAATCCGTCCTCCTTGTCTCTCTTATCTTTTCTGGCTACGGTTTATTCCCCTGATCTTACGCCCTGCAGCCCGTCTCTCACGGGACCCCACAAGACCCCAAGGCTTTGTTGATTTGATGCTGAAACGCGATCACAGGACCCTGTCTCCCCCCCCCAATCCCTCTTACTCAGCACTTTACCGCTGAGCTATACTCAAATATTCTTGGGTTCTTTGTTTAGAGTCAAGGAGTCAAGGTCTCCCCTGTGGGCCAGAATAGTGGCTTTTTTTCTTTTCAGTTTTGTTTTGTGTTTCCCCTTTGAGGCAGGTTTCTCTATGTAGTCCTGGCTGGCCTTGAACTCACAGAGAGCCTCTTGAGTGCTGGGATTACTCTTTCTTTCTTATCCTTCCTTTCTTTCTTTCTTTTTTTTCTGTCGAGACACAGTTCCTCTGCATAGCCCTGGCTGGCCTAGAACTCACTCTGTAGACCAGACTGGCCTCAAACTCAGAGATCCACCTGTCTCTGTTTCCCAAGTGCTGGGATTAAAGGCGTGCGCCACCACCACTCCCAACTCCAAAATTCACTTTTTAAAAACATCGAGGGCCAGCGGGGCAGTGGTGGCACACGCCTTTAATCCCAGCACTCGGGAGGCAGAGGCAGGCGGATCTCTGTAAATTCAAGGCCAGCCTGGTCTACAGAGCGAGTTCCAGGACAGCCTCCAAAGCCACAGAGAAACCCTGTCTCAAAAACAAACAAACAAACAAAAAACAGAACAAAAAAAAATGAGGGGTGCTGACCATACCTTTGTTTGGTAGATTGCTATTACAGTATGCAGAAAGCCCTGGGTTCAACTCCCCCAGCATGACAGAAACCAAGACTGTCGTCACCCGCCCAAGACTGTCACCCGCCCTAGGACTTGGGAGTAAAAGGCAGGAGGATCAGAAGTTCAAGGTCATCCTCAGCTACACAGAATTCAAAGCCAGCCTGTGCTCGCCTCTCTTTGTGTATGTATGTATGTATGTGTACATATGTGTAAAGGTCTGTATAAATTCATAATCCAAGCAATCCTTGAGCTCACTGTGTAGACCAGGCTAGCCTCAAACTCCCGAGTTCAGCCTGCCTCTGCCTCCCGAGTGCTGGGATTAAAGGCGTGTGCCCCAACGCCCGGCTTCCATTCAGAATTCTTGTTCCTTAGTGTGCAGTGTGTGTGTGTGTGTGTGTGTGTGTGTGTGTGTGTGTGCATTGTGGAAGCCAGAAGAGAATGCCAGATTCCTTGGAGCTGTAGTTACAGGCAGTATTAATTAATTATTATGTGTACAGTGTTCTGTCTGCCCATCAGAAGAAGACTCCAGATCTCATTACAGATGGTTGTGAGCCACCATGTGGTTGCTGGGAATTGAACTCAGAACCTGTGGAAGAGCAGCCAGTGCTCTTAACCTCTGAGCCGTCTCTCCAGCCCACAGGCAGTTTTAAGAAGTGCCAAGTGGGTCCTCTGGAAGAGCCGCCGAGCTCTTGGTTGCTGCTCTCCAGCCCCGTGTTTCCACTTAGTGCATAGGAGGTCATGGCAGCCTTGCTTCGGGCACACAGGGGTCATGCTGGGCTGGTGGCTTGCAAGACAGAGCAGAATTGCAGAGCGACGCTGGGTGCACAATGATATGAATGAGGGACACGGAAGTGAAAAGACCGATGTTGGAGTGACAAGCGGATGGGAGGAATGTGTATACTGGAGGCCTTGGGGACCTCACTCCCAGCTCTTCTGAGGCTTAGCCGTGGCCCCTGGGCGCTCCCAGAAATCTCACCTCAGAGAAGCCCAAGCCAGCCCGATCAGCAGTTTCGCAACCCCTCGAGGCACTTTGTGCCCATTTTGTCACCGTGTGCCTCCCTGACCAAGCCTGGGTCTCTGCCATCAGCACTCCTGTATGGCCGAATCATGTTCCATTAAAAAGCCCAGCTCAGGGGCGGGGCCGGCTAGCTAGAACAGTAGCACGCTTGCCTAGCTCTGGATGCAGCAGGCATGTCAGTAATCCCAGCACCTGGCAGGTGGAGGCAGGAATGTCAGTTCAAGGCCAGCCTTGGCTACATAGTTAGTTTGAGGCCAACCTGGGCCAACCTGAAACCCTGTCTTAAAAACACAAAGTTACTAACTTGGGTTCTTCAAAGCCTCCTGCAGTGCCCACTTTCCTTTTTTTTTTTTTTTTTTTTTTTTTTTTTGGTTTTTCGAGACAGGGTTTCTCTGTATTGTTTTGGAGGCTGTCCTGGAACACGCTCTGTAGACCAGGCTGGCCTCGAACTCACAGAGATCTACCTGCCTCTGCCTCCCGAGTGCTGGGATTAAAGGCGTGCGCCACCACCCAGCTAACGTCTATTAGTTTTAATTATGTGTAGTGTGTGCGCGCACGCGCACACACACACCAGTGCAAGCACCTGAGAAGCCAGAGGACCCCCAGCAGCTGGAGTTACAGAGAAGCACGAGCTGCCATTGTGGGGGCGGGGACCCAGATCAGCCAGCGCTCCTATTGGCTGAGCCACCTCTCCATCCCGTTTCTCAGTAAACCCTCTCCATAAAAACCACCAGGAAAGCATTTGCCAAGTAGCAACTGTAACAGCTTTATTTTCAAAGACAAGGCCTCTCCTTGGAACTGAGGCCTGAGGCGGAGGCTCCCAGCTGAGCGGCAAGGCCAGGCAGGCCAAGGACAGACAGACAGACGGACAGACGGACGGACGGGGCAGCTGGCGAGGCAGGCAGGTGCGACACCTTACACGGGCTCCATCTGCAGCTCCTCTCCGTCTGTAGGCTCTAACTGGTGCAAGGCAGCATGGGAGCCGATGATCACCAGGGTGGCTCCTAGGGGGGGACGGGCAGTTCAGGGTGTGATCTCTCACCCGGCTCCCAAGCTCTCCCGACCCACACCCTGTACTCACCCAGGACCCAGAAGACAGCGGAGCCAGCACCTGCCAGCCAGAAGAAGGGGAAAGAGACGCCGCCGGCCAGGGCGTACTGATGCGCTGGGCTCACCTCCCGGCCTGGGGACAGATGGATTGGGCAGCTGTTCCCACCTGACCCTTCCCCAGAGGTAACCAGAGCCGCCCTCCATCAGTCTAGTGTCACAGGTACGGAACCTTCTAGGTAGTAACAGAGACCCCTCCCATCAGGCCTCCCGTCCCTGGCCTCCCCTGCTTCCGCCAGCTCTGCTCTCCATTCCCGCCCCCCAGGACTTCCCAGGCCACTTGTCTCTCAGAATAGGCTAGCCTCATGTTCCAGCCTGGTTACCAGGAGTGTCAGGCTTGTGGCCCCGCAGCTGGGTAGGACCTAAGGGTTTCTGTCCTCTTCTTACTTTTAATTTATAAGGATTTTATTTATTATTATTTTATTTATTTATTTATTTATTTATTTTTGGTTTTTTTGAGACATAGCTTCTCTGTATTGTTTTGGAAGCTGTCTTGGAACTCGCTCTTGTAGACCAGGCTGGCCTCGAACTCACAGAGATCCGCCTGCCTCTGCCTCCCGAGTGCTGGGATTAAAGGCATGCGCCACCAACGACCGGCAGGATTTTATTTATTATTTTGAATTATGTGTATGTGCCCTGTGTGGCCATATGTCACAAGAGTTCAGGAGCCCAAGGAGGTCAGAAACTGGAGTGACAGGTGGCTATGAGACAGTCACCTGACTTGGGGACTTGGGTTCTGGGAACCAAACTTGGGTCCTTTACAAGAACATAATTCAATTTTAACCACTGAGCCATCTCTCCAAGCCGTTATTTTGTTATTAAAATTTGAGACAGGGTTTCTCTGTGTAGCACTAGCTGTTCTGGAACTCACTTTGTAGACCAGGCTGGCCTTGAACTCACAGAGATCCTCCTGCCTCTACCTCATCCGGAATGCTGGGATTAAATGTGTGCAACCATGCCCAGCTCTCATTTTGATTTTTTTTGAAAGACTCTGAAGCTCAGGCTTGTTTTGAATTTACAGCAATCCTCCTGTTCCAGCCTCCCAAATGCTGGGATTACAGGCAAGAGCCAGAGCTTCTATCTTTGAAGTGTTTCCCAAGAATCTGGTTTGGGGGGGGCTGGAGAGACGGCCCAGCAGTTAAGAGCACTTGCTGCTCTTCCAGAGGGCCTGCCTTCTGGGTGCTTAACAAATTTTGTAAGGTTAGGGTATGGAGGCACACTTTTAATTCCAGCACTCAGGAGGCAGGGGAAATCTGTGAGTTGGAGGCTAGGAGGCTAGCCTGGTCTACATAGTGAGCTCTTGGCAGGCCAAGGCTACATAGTAAGACCTGTGTCTGGAAACTGTGTATGCCCTAGCGACTACTATCTGCCAAGGCCAAGTTCTCTCGTCCTTCAGGTCCTCTCCTACCTGTCTGGGCCCCGAAAGACTGTCATAGGTCTCCTTGGCAAACCTGGGACTTCCTCTCAGTGGGTCTTCCCTGACACTTCTCTTCCCAGTGGACCTACAGGTCTCAGTTTCCCCCTCTGAAAATGCCCAGGATCTTTCCAGTTCAGCCCTGGGGCGGAAGGTAGACAGAGCTGGGCCTGCATAGGTCGCCACCTGGTGTCCAGTGTGGGTACCTGCAGCTGATGCTTTCCCCGGGGGTTTGGGAGGGATCGATTCATTTTCCTGGAGACAGAGGAGCCAGGGTTTTCGGGGGGCCTCTCTGAGACTGGAGGGGATCACCCGGGCCCTTAAGGACTAAGTTTAGTGACTCCGGTGTACATCTCGGTGGGACCGACTTGATTCCCAAGTGTTCGGAGGTCTGCATTCTGTGAGACCTGGGGGATCCATTTGGGGAGGGGACTTCTCACCAAAGAGCACAAGCTTGGACTGCAACGTGCGCAGATAGAGAATGTAACAGGCGCCGAAGAAGACAGCCAGAGCCACCAGCAGCATGGGGGATGTCACCCTGGGGGAGTGTGGGACACAGGAGTCAGGCATCCGAGGCTGCGTGGGCCGGGTCCCTGCAGCCTTGGACATCACACGTGGTTACACTGCATCCTGGGCCGGGTGGGTTCAGGAATACAGCCCCCGCGACTCCGTCCTCCGGTGCAGACAAGGCGTGGCCTGGGGGACGCGTGGGGGCGGGGCCTGGCGACGGGGGCGGGGCCTGACTATGGAGGGCGGGGCGGCAGGGGCACTCACACGCAGTAAAGGATGAGGCCCAGAAACACGAACACGTAGTTGCTTTGGTAATACTCCACGTTGCGTACCAGGCGCTGGCAAAGCTCGCCCAGGTTGCGGGGTCGCGAGAAACGCTGCTGGTCCACGAAGGTGCCCCAAGGCCGGATGGTGGCGCGGCGCCGCTCCAGCCACTCGCGGCCCGCGCCCGAGGGAATCAGCTTGGGCAGCAGGGTCCTGGAGGGCGGGGCGTGGTCAGCATGCAGTAAGCAGGGCCCGGGCCCCAGATCCCGGCACCCGCGGTCCCAAGGATGGCCTAGAACTCCCGGGGGCAGCGTCCCTCCCGGGGTGGGGGCAGAGGGGACGTCTCGGAAAAGCAGGGTTCTCAGCCCGGGGGCGGGGACGCGTGCATCCCGGGGGCGGGGGTGACCCCCTGTTCGCTCACGTGGCGCTCAGCCCTTCCACCTCCGTGTCCTTCTGCTGGTCCTTCTGGGCCGCCATGTCTACACCGCGGCGTGCAGAACCGCTGTAAACAGCCCCGAGCCCCGCCGCGCCCGGCCGGCCCCGCCCGAGACCGGACTCTCGGGACGTGGCGCCGCTTAGGGGGCGGTAGTTGCTTCTCCGAGCATTGTGGGAGTTGTAGTCACTGCGGCATCAGGAGGCGGGTCTGGCGCGCCTTGGGAGAAGTACGCCAAGAGCGCGGCGAGAGCCTCTAGGCATTGTGGGAATTGTAGTTTCGGAGTGTGCAGCGTGGGCTGGCCGGATGGGGGCGTTTTATGGGAGTAGCAGAAACAGGCGTTCTGCGTGATTCCGAGGACCGTGCAGAGCTGTCATCCTGACTCCAGAGGGCTTAACAAAACATCGGCCGCAGCCTCAGATACTCTAGTTCTGGTTGGGCTAGTCTGGGATGGAGTTCATTTACTTTCTCTTTTCTTAAAAAAAACGAAATAAAGCCTGGCGTTGGTGGCGCACGCCTTAAGTCCCAGCACTCGGGAGGCAGAGGCAGGAGGATCTCTGTGAGTTCGAGGCCAGCCTGGTCTACAGAGCGAGTTCCAGGACAGGTTCCAAAGCTACACAAAGAAACCCTGTATCGAAAACAACAACAAAAATCTGTTTTATTTATTTATTTTTTTGAGACAGGGTCTTTCTACCATAGCCCTGGCTGTCTTGGTACTCGCTCTGTAGGCCAGGCTAGGCTCAAACTCTCAGAGATTCACCTGTCTCTGGCTCTGAGTACTGGGGTTAAAGGTGTGTGATTTGTTTTTGTTTTATGTTCTTTGGTCTTCTGCTTGCATGCGCGTCTGTGTGATGGAGGCGGATGCCCTGGAGCTGGAGTTGCAGAGAGCTGGGAGCTGCCGTGTGGGTACTGGGAGAGCAGTCAGTGTTCTGAACTATTGTGCCATCTCCTGCCCCTTCATTTTCAGTTTTCCATAGGGCTTCATGTAGCCCAGGATGGCCCGGAACTTGCACTGCGGTTTTTCCTGCTCCTGCTGCCTCCTTTCACCTCCTCAGAGTCGGGGTTACTGCATGGGCCGCTCAGCAGGGAACTTTCGCGCTTGGGGTCCAGCTTTGCTCCAGAAGGTCCGTGGAGGGCTGTGAAGTGGAGTTAGCCCAGACACCAATGCGCGACATTACAATGCTGGAGGTGTAGACAGAATCTCGGGAACCAGTGTGGCGGCAAAAACAAGACAAAGCAAAACAAAACAAAAGAACCAGCTGGAGTGGGCTGGAGAGATGGCTCAGGGGTTAAGACTGCTCTTCCAGAGGTCCTGAGTTCAATTCCCAGCACCCACATGGTGGCTCACAACCATCTATAGTGGGATCTGGTGCCCTCTTCTGGTGAGCTGACATATAGGTAGGCAGAACACTGTGTACACAATAAATAAATCTTAAAACAAAACCAAAAACAGCTGGAAAGAGTGTTCCAGGAACCACTTAGTTTCTCTACGAAGACTAATTGGAAGCTTTTCTGTTTCGTGACCCTCAAGGGTGAGCAAAGATGGAGAACTGCCACGGTGGGGGGCGGGGATTCAGGGGAGGGCAGTGGGCGGGGATTCAGGGGAGGGCAGTGGGCGGGGATTCAGGGGAGGGCAGTGGGCGGGGATTCAGGGGAGGGCAGTGGGTGGGGATTCAGGGCAGAGGGCGGGGATTCAGGGGAGGGCAGTGGGCGGGGATTCAGGGGAGGGCAGTGGGCGGGGATTCAGGGGCGGGCAGTGGGCGGGGATTCAGGGCAGTGGGCGGGGATTCAGGGCAGGGCAGTGGGATGCTGCAGAGAGCGGCAAGTGGGAGGATTCAGGAGCCTGGAAAAAGGATTTTTTAAAAAAAGATTTATTTACTTATTATGTGTACAGTATCCTACCTGCATTCCTACCTGCAGGCCAGAAGAGGGCGCCATAACTTATTACAGATGGTTGTGAACCACCATGTGGGTGCTGGGAATTGAACCTTAGTGTTCTGGAAGAGCAGCCAGTGCTCTTAAACTGCTGAGCCATCTCTCCAGGCCCAACATATTTCTTTTGTAAAAATCACTATTTTATTATTTTATCTTATGTGCATTGGTGTTTTATCTGCGTGTACGTCTATGTGATCATGTCAGATGTTGGAGTTACAGACAGTTGTGAGCTGCCACATGGGTGCTGGGAATTGAATCTGGGTCCTCTGGAAGAGCAGGCAGTGCTCTCAGCCACTGAGCCATCTCTCGGCCCCCCAGTGGTTACTTCTTTGGTCTCTTGAGCTCCCAGAGCAAGTGGCACTGGGAGACCAGGAAGATATTGCATAAACCCGAGACTTGGTTCATAATGCCTGCCACGTGCGACTTCACGGGGCCCCTCCCCTTTCCGTGCCCGTCAGTCTATGCAGGTGTTCCTCCTGGCACTAGGGGAATGTAGCAGAATTTGTGGGTAACCCATGCAACTCCTCCCGGCACCATTTTGTCCTGACATGACCGGAGGTCATGGTGCATAGGGCTCCGAGGGTAACCTTGACCCCTTGATCCGCCTGCCTCTACCTCCTGAGTGCTGGGACTGCAGGTGTGGCCTCTAGAAAGTGGCCAACTTTTATTTTTCTTTATGTCTACCTCACTCTGCAACCTAGGATAGCGTGACCTTGAGCTTCTGATGTTTTTGTCTGCAGCGCGTGAATGCTGTAGGATCGCGCCTTTGTGGCAGTGCACCCGATTTAGGTGGGGCTTGGATCAAAGCCTGGGCTTTGGTGGGCAAGTCCTTCCAAAGCCCGAGCCACAGCCGGGACACTTGATTATTGTAAAAGCTTTCTGTTGTTTATCACTGGCGTGCGTGCGTGCGTGCGTGCGTGTGTGTGTGTGTGTGTGTGTACGTGTTTTCAGGCTCCGTGTCTGCGGAGGCGAAAGAACGGCTCTCAGGCTGGCCTCAGACTCAGATCTTCCATCTGCCACCTCTGGAAAATGGGGATTGTGGAAAGCTGGAATTAAAGGCGCATGCCATCACTCTCAGCATCAGATGGCTGTCTTGTGTACTGGTGTGTTAACACACTCACTCACAGGTGTCCATAACATCCTGGTCACTTCCTTCAGTGGGTGAAAGTGAAAGTGTTTAGCGCCAGGGAGTAAGTTTAACTTCCCAATCAGAATAGCTAAATTAAAACGTTTGCCACTGCCACCTAGTGGTAGGCTTGTGGAATAGATGGGGGGGGTTCCTACCCCATGGGATGCAAAACACCCAATTCATGCTAGGTTCTGGAAGTTCCATTAAAATTAAACAGTCTGAGAAGTAGGTGTGGAGGCACATGCCTGTAAACCTAGCATTTGGGAAGCCAAGGTAGGAGGATCACTGTAAGTATGAGGCCAGTCTGGTCTACATAGCAAGACGCTATAAACAAAAATAAAAATTAAGCTGGGCGGTGGTGGCGCAGGCCTTCAGACCCAGCACTCGGGAGGCAGAAGCAGCAGGATCTCCGTGAGTTCAGGGCTATACTGGTCTACAGAGTGAGTTCCAGGACAGCCAGAGCTACATAGAGAAACCCTGTCCTGAAAAAATAAAAACAAAAAACAAAAAAGAGGCCAGTCTGAGCTGCTTCTTAGCCCCCTGTCTCGGACAAACATCAAAGTGAATAATAAGACGACTGGGTGTGCATTCTTTCTATTCCGAGCAGTCCCAACATGGACACAATTCAAATGTGGATCAATAGGGACCCAATTAAAGAATGCATGCTACAGTCACACCATGAACAGAGAGCAATGATGATACACATGGCATCACAGAGATGCTCGTGGATGATCAGAGTCATAAGCATGAAAGGATTTGCTGTAAAATTTCATTTGTATGAAGTTCAAGAATGGACATACTGGCCTAGAATCCCCCAGTGAGGGGCTGGGGGTGTGGCTCAGTGGTAGAGCCCCTGCCTAGAATCCCCCAGTGAGGGGCTGGGGGCGTGGCTCAGTGGTAGAGCCTCTGCCTAGAATCCCCCAGTGAGGGGCTGGGGGTGTGACTCAGTGGTAGAGCCCCTGCCTTGTATGTGCAAAGACCTGCTTCAATCTCAGCATGACAGACTAACACCAGCAATGGTCATGGGAAAGGAGCCAGTGGGGATAGGTAGCGGGACATTTCCTAGGGGGGTTTTCACAAGTTAGGCGAGTGCTCTATGGCTGAACCATGTCCTAGTCACATGTATTGTGTGCATGTGCGGCACTTGTGTCTTTTTGTGTGTGTGTGCACATACATGTGTGGGTGTATTCATACAAGTCCACATTGTACGTGGTGGCCATAAGTTGCTGTTGGGTGTCACTGCTTTTTTTGTCTGTGACAAGGTTTCTCTGAGTAATAGTCCTCAAACTCACAGAGATCTGCCTGCCTCTGCCTCCCGAGTGCTGGGTCAAAGGAGTGCACCACCATGCCTGGTTACAATCTTGTATTTTGTGGCAAGGATTTTTTTTTATTTTTAGAAACAGAGTTTCTCTGTGGCTTTGGAGCCTGTCCTGGCACTCGCTGGCCTTGAACTCACAGAGATCTGCCTGCCTCTGCCTCCCGAGTGCTGGGATTAAAGGTGTGTGCCACCAACGCCCGGCTTCACTATGTAGCTTTAACTGGCCTAAAATCTATATTTACTAGGCTGGATTCACTTGCCTCTGCTAGAATTAAAGGAGTGGGCCATCACGCCTGGCTGAATTTTATTTTATGTGCGTGTACATTTTGTTTACATGCATGTTTGTGCACCACTTTGTATGCCTGGTGCCAGAGGGGCATTGGGTCCCCTAGAACTGGAGTTGCAGATAATTTGTGAGCCAGAATCTGGGTCCTGTGCAAGAGCAACAGTGTTCTAAAGGAACGAGGCATCTCTCCAGCCCCGAAGTTTCCTGAACTTTTCGTGCACTCGATGGTGTGAAAGTTACCTCAGTGAAAGACGAGATGAACACGGTGGCTTAGAGCCTCAGTCTAAAGCCCTTTGCCAGCTTCTCCGTGGCTCTGTGGCCGTCAGCAAGTCCCCTCCCCTCCCTGTGCCTCCCACTGATAACTACTGGGACATTGTTTAGGAGGGGCACCAGTCGGAGGGCCCCTGTCGGAAGGAGACCCCTTCAAGTCCCAGCCTCCTCCAATCTGCGCGCATTCCACTGCGCTGAGAAGTCTAACTCC